CAAAATTGTGACATGGCAACTAACAGTTTCTGCTGAACTAAGGCACAGGATACTAAACTAGAAACTGCGATAGCCACAAGCTCTCCGTGCACAGCACTAATGCCTGGGGGGAGGGAAGTCTTGCTCTTTGGAAGCTTAAATTTCACAGATGCTTCAGATCTGACTTGCCAGTTCACTCTTAACATTGTCTAGCTCTAAACTCTCTAGATCTGAAAAGTTTCTTTTAGTGTCACGTAACATACTAAGGACTAACTATGCGGATTTTGATGTTGAGGTTGCATGTTGCTTTTATGTGTATTTAATCACAGAAATTGTTTTGCACACTTATTTGTAATATGTTATTTCTTTTAAATAAAAGTGACTAATTTTGCTGTATTCAGTGATGATCACAGGCAAAGTTCCTACTGCTGTAGGTTTTGGGGAATAAATACCTAACTCAGTCAACAGTGGTGGCTGTTAAAGGACAGAAGCTGAACTGTGCTGCCCAGCAGACAGGAAGCATGTGAATTACTGCCTGGGACATGTACATTGGTATTTATCCAAAAACAAGTCCAACTTCAGTGCAAACCAGTTCCTGCTCGGCACTGTTCACCACACCATTCACCCAGCTGCTCTTGGAAGCTTCTTACCTTGCAATGGTAGTAGAATGAACAACTGAATGTTGCCATCTCCCCTGAGCAGGCCATGGTTAGGAGCCCTCCTCCCAGGGCAATGCCAATCCTCTCCGGTGCAGCTGTAAGCTCTTTATGATCCCCTCAGCTGCATTCACTTCAAATAGCAAGGAAACTACTTGAACTAAAACATTAAGTCATGGAAGGTTTTACATTTCTTAATCTGCTGAGGCACCATCCCCCTGCCCTCCCATTAAAGTTCTCCTGTAGTTGACCAGAGGGACTATGAGCATGATTATTGGTTCATTAAAACGCTGCCGAACTTGTAAAACTTCCCCAAAACATCTGTTCTAGTGCTACAGGAAGAATGCAAATAACAGTAACTGCAGCCATGGATAACCGTGCTGCACCAATGATGGAATCCCTTAGTACACACCTAAAGGTGTTTAATCACAAAGTCCCCCTTCTTGTACAACTTGCAGCTCCCCACCTTAACCTCTTTAGGCTATTTTAGAAGGACAGCAGATCAGGTAGAAGAAAGTGTCTTCCCGCCTGGTGTTTGTTCCAGTTCCCTGCCAGTACTTCATCACATCCCTTTCTGCTCTGCTGCATTTTGCAGGTAACTTGCATCAAAACTTGCATTAAGCAGGATAAACACATCTCTACAATCAAATGGAACAGTGCTTTAGTCAGTTTTTGGGGAAAAAAAAAATAGTACTCTAAGTACTGGTGAACCCACGTTGACACATTTTTGGCATCAGCACACTCGCTGCACTGTCCAGTGTTAACAGCCAGGGTCTGGGCCGTGCAGGGACCCAGCTGTCCTGGGCAGGACAGGGAGGAATCTCTTCCCCAGAGGGGCTCATGCGTCAGGAAGGCAGGTTCTGAAAGACCAGGATAAGCAAGCAGTCACCTTTCCAGCACAGCCCTTCTCTACAGGAGGCTGCAGAGCCACGGGGGCCAGGCGAGCTGTCAGCAGTCTCGTTTATATGACGAAGGAGGATTAAACAGTTTTTTAAATGTCAAGTTGTTGGCTTCAGATGAGCCTGGAGCATTTATTGCTTTCAGTACAGCTGGCTGAACTCCTGGCTAGACACACAAGGCTTTGGGAGCCAGCCCTGCCCAGCAGAGCACTGCCGCCTGCAGGGGCACAGGCCAGTGGTGCAGACTGGGGTCATCTGTCCAAAAAGGGCAGAATTCACACAGCAAGTCCAAAATGTGACTGTTCCTAAAAACCAATGTACTTCCACCAGCATCAGCTATTTAAATATACGGATTGCCAATTTATTTCATATTTATAAATAACCCAGCTCCTCCTCTCCCCATTGTGCTGTCTCTTTCTGCAGCACCTGTCACTGATCAAAATCCTGAAAGGAAACCTGTACGATGAGCCAGTGCGGTAGATCCAACAGTACTTCCAGGTGTTCGCCAGCAGCAGCCACAGAATACGAGTATTTCTTGCAGAACCTTTAGGTATTCACATTAAAATAGTAGAAAATGCAAGATTAATCAGTGAAGTCAAGAGAACACGAGGCACAAGACTCGTTCTCTATGTAGGCCAGAGGGGCTGTGGCAGATGCTGCTGACCTAAATACAAGTGCTACAGCACAACGTGTGCTTCAGGAGGACAGCCCTGGAGTGACACGCTGCTGCAGCCACCTCTTTCCCCTCAGGCCATTTCATTGCCCCTGCTTTAGGGCTTTCTCTTCCTCCTCCTCCTTGCCCAAAGGTTGCGCTCGTTTAAAGAAGCCACTGACGGTTTGTTCTGGTCCATAAGAGATCCTGTGGCATTTCACACAATAGTCCATTCTCTTTGTTAAAAGAGTAAGTTATGCTCTTTCAGCTTCAAACACTCCAGCCCTTTACAGGAGTTTTGTGGCCCTCCTTTGATTTCTCCCCAACAATTCTTGAAAGTATTGACATGAAAACCTGACCCAGCATTCTAGTAGGTTTTTCTGGTACTTCAGACAAAAGCATTTCCACAGCTCTGATGAGAAACAAAAAAAATGTAACTAATGCATAAAAGGAGGATCAGAAACCAAACCAACATCAATTAACATTATTCCAGAAAGTGTACATCTCATTGAACTTATTTTAAAATAAAACAATCTATCCGTTGCCATGGCAGTCTGCAGTACATCAATACATCTGTAGCCAATGTGGGTTTTTTTTAAGTCAAGTCACTGAACTAATGTAAACCCCTGGCCGTGTACCTGAAATCAGCCCCAAATGCTAACACAACTTCTAGAAGAATCAGATTCTTTGATATAAAAAATGATTCAAAGTCTGGCTTGATTAACAGCTGGGAAAGAAAACAAGCAGAAGCAGCAATGGGAGCACAACTTGTTTTCATCTGCCCGTCCACAGATAAGATCAGACAGAGCAGTGCTCTTGGTTAGAATATTAAGCTGTATAGTTAGGACACGTGTATAGAAAGTGGTCAGTCAGGTTAGCAGAAAGCTGCTTTCAATTTAGTGTAAATGAGATAAGAGATCTATCTAGAGATATTTTTAGAGAAATACCTGTCTCACACATACACATAAAATCACAACTGTATGAAATCACATGCTATATAAAATCACAACTTATGCTGTATTACTGACTAACAACTCAAAATTTACCTTTTGGGAGAAATCAAATGAAGCTACAAAACCTAGCTCTAAACACAGGCTGTTTAACTTCAAGATTCCACTTTTGGATTTGCGTGTTATAAACGCTGACGTTTTAAAATGAACCCGCACTGCCCCAGCCACAGAGGCAGAGGCAAACCCCCTGCTCCCCCCCGTATGGCAGTCCGTACTGTAAAGCGGTTTAGGCAGCAGCTTCTGCAGGTGTCTCTGAGGCCTGGCACAGTACAGACATGTACCTAAATGGGCACAATTAAAACCAGCCTAATGACGGCGACCGCTGTGGTAAATACAGGGTGATGTGGGCAAGGGGGAGGCAGCAGCAGCAGCTGAGGACCAAGAAGAACTGGTGGGATCTCGTGCAAGGAGGACGCAGCACGCTGGCAGCGGAGGCCAGCGCTTCACCAGAAGCAAACGCACACCCAGGTCTTCCACCTGTTGCAACGGCCAGTCTTTTCCAAAGTCATTTTAAAGATTACACAAGAGCTGACTCTTACCGGGAAGAGCACTGAACAGGCAGCTTGGAAGGAGCACAGAAGCAAGTAAACCCATGCATTGTCAAACACAAAAGGTAACTGGAAAGGGCACGCCAATTTGCAGAGAGGTCAAACCTCTATGCAAAGGCACCGCCTGAAGAGATCTGTCATTTACAAAAGAAAACCACTGTGACCGTGGGAGTCCAGGATGTCCGACGGCCGCGGGAGCGGCAGCACCACGCCCATCTCATCTGGCCTCTGCTGCCTCACACAGAAACCAGCACGGGCTTCGCTGCCGTTTCGTGTAAGCCCCAGGAGTCCACGTCACCCAAAAGCTCTGGAGATCATCCCATGTGAGCGTCCTCAGCAGCTCACCCCGGCTCGCTCCGTCCCAGGGCACTGCCCACGGGCACCGCACCGATCACCCCAAAGATACGTCAGTATTTCAGACACACTTGCTGAGTAATTTCAACTTGGTGGATTTGCTGAATAAAATTTAATTTTATTTAAAAAATCTTATACA